ACTTGGACATCTCCTGATGGGAAGATACACAATCAAGTAGACCATATTTTGATAGATAGGAGACAGCACTCAAGTATACTTGATGTATGATCATTCAGGGCAGCAGATTGTGATACTGACCACTACCTGTTGGTGGCAAAGGTTAGGGAAAGACTGGCAGTGAGCAAACAAACAACACACAGAGTTCATATGGAGAGGTTCAATCTCAAGGAATTCAATGAAGTAGAGGGTAAGGAGCAGTATTGTGTTGAAATCTAAAATAGGTTCACGGCTTTGGAAAACTTGGAAACTGAGGTGGATGTTAATAAAGCTTGGGAAACTATTAGAGAGAAAATCATAATTTCTGCCAAAGAGAGTCTAGGTAACTATGAGCTGAAGAACCATAAGCCATGGTTCGATGAAGGATGCTCAAAATTACTAGACCAAAGAAAACAAGCCAAACTGCAATGGTTACAGGATCCAAGCAAAATAAATAGGGATAATCTGAACAATATAAGATGTGAAACCAGCAGGGTTTTCAGGAATAAAAAGAGGAAATTCACATCATCAGCATGGACCAGCAGCTGACGTTTCCCATTTAATTTCAGTCCCACTCGGTTTTCCTGGACCTTCCTAATGGCATATTCTGAAGCAAAGTCGAATAGCAATGTTGATAAAGCATATGATGGCTAAACTGAGTAGGAACAAAATCTGTCCAACCATTCAGGCGTGCCTATAGGAAGAGAGACTGAATTTCATGGAGGAAAAATAAAGAGAGGTAAAGCTGTCCCTGCAACAGGTCATGGAGGCCCATAAGGTTGTGAGACATCAAGCCCCCCACACATTTTCTAGACAATCTACTCACAGATGGCATTGAGGTTGCCAGCCCTACGTGCCGGCCATCCTTTACTTCCAGGAAGATTCCTGGTACTCATGTCTGTTAGAGGCTGAGTTGAGCCCAGAGCCATAATGTGCCTGGAAGGATTAGGTCAACTGAAAAATCTAATGACCTCATCAGGAATTGAACCTACTGCCTTCTGGCTTGCAGCATAGTGTCTCAACCAACTATGCTACAGTGTATCCCTGTGAAAATATTAAGTCCAAGATTTTGACGGTGTACATCTATTAAAATCTCGAGATCATTCTTTCACCGTCACAGAACTTTCTCATGCTATGTTATACAAGAATGTAAAAATGACATGGTTCGTGTCTATCATATCGTGTAACAAATACACACAAATAAATGCAGATCCTTGTGTTTTACTATTATCTGGGGGTGGGGTATTTTACAATGCTGCCAGTGCTGAGACCATATTGTATCAAATGGTAGATTGGTTTAAGAATGGTGAAGTGCTGGTGGCAAGGATAGGATATTTTCCAGGAAGGAGGGACAGCCAATTTTCAGGGAAGAAGTCAGAAAATTCACACTAAGCCATTTAAGTCTACGTTTATTAATTTATTAAAGATAATTTCTTTATTGTTATTTGGAATATCTATTTTTCGTCTTCAATTTCGATTTTTTCAAAGATCTGATTGGGAGGGGGCAGATGCCTGACTTCCCCCCACCCCCCTTTGGCAGGCACGACTGCTGTTAGTAATTACAAAGGAAGTCCTGTTTTAACCACATTCTGTATTAAGGCATTTGTTGCAGGATTATACCATCACGATGTACCTGAACCAATACTGGAAAGATGAGCGACTGGCGTTCAGCACAGATGATGAAATTTTGACACTCTCTGGAGATTTTGCTGAGAAGATTTGGGTCCCTGACACATTCTTTGCCAATGACAAGAACAGGTGAAGTACTGGTGTACGTTGGGTCCTTTGTTTTATCTTCAATTATGCCTTAGTATGCTTTATTTCAAGATCTACGAGTAGGATCAAATTCAGTGAGTGTCACACACTGAGACTACCAGATGGCCTTAGACTAAAGTATATAAATCATATTTTGCCTGTTTTATATGAGTGTGAAATTTGGTGTCTTACATTAAGTGAATAACGCAGACTGAGAGTTTTTGAATACAAGGTGTTGAAGGGGATAATTGGATTGATGAGAGGTGAATTTGTAGAATGTTTGAGAAAACTGCATAATGAGTAGCTTCATAACTTGTATGTTTCACTTAATATTGTTAAGACCACTATATGAAGAACAATGATATGAATGAGACATGTGTATTTGTATAAAGGTAAAGTTGTGCCTGTGCTTAACTAATTAAGCACTACACAATGAAGGCTGGATGTATATATCCACGTATTCTTGACCTCGGCACTTGTTGGAGATGAGTGGTCAGTTTCACTCTTAACTGCTTTACCCCCGAGGAAAGAGCCCCCTATACCCATCGGATAGGAGGCTGGGTGGACCCCAGAACTGGTCTGCAAGATATGGATAGGAGACAAATCTTGCCCCTATTGGGTCTTGAGTTGCAACTCCTCAGCCATCAAGCACATAGCCAGTCACATCCATACAAAGGAAAATGGGAAACATAATACAAGTTTTGGTCTGAACACCTGAAAGAATAGGAACACTTGGGAGATCTAAAAGTAGATGGAAGGAAAGTATTGCAATGGATCATAGAAAAATAATACGTTAATCAGATTAAAACTGGTACAGGTTACAGTCAAACTGTGTGGTTTCCTTTTGTGGTTTCAAATACCTGAGTTGCATAAAGACTAAGAATTTATTGATTAATTGAATACAGGTCAAAGTGTCTTTAAGGAAAGCTCCTGACAATTTTCTCTGCTTTTTAAATAAGAGCCAGGATAGCTCAGTCGCTATAGCGACGGGCAATGGGCTGGATTGCCAGGGTTCGATTCTCAACAGGGGAAAGATCGTTATCTTCTTCACAGTGTCCAAACCAGCACTGGGACCCACCAAGTCTCCTATCCAATGGGTACCAGGGAATCTTTCCCAGGGGGTAAAGCAGCAGGGGCACGAAGCTGACCACTCACCTCCATCCAATGCTGAGGTCAAGAATAGTGGAGCTATACCTCCACTCCCCAGTATGTCTACATGACGCATTTAATTAATCAATCACAGGGACAAATTTACCTATTTACCTTTATCTCTTTTCTTAAATGACAAAGTTCATAGATCTTGTCCTGTTTTTAAAAACGTCTACTTTATAACATACAGTTTGACATAAAGAGTTACATAACCACTGAAAAGGGATATGTGAAGTTTCACACTGAAATCATGGGGTACATTGACTAAATGGCTCAGAAACACCAGTATATGCGAAAACTCTGTCCATTGATCTTATAAATTTTCTGTTGTCAGTTTTCTGCATGATGTTACGGAGAGAAATAAACTCGTACGTTTGAATGGTGATGGAAGTATCACATATGGCATGAGATTCACCACAACACTGGCTTGTATGATGGACCTTCATTACTATCCTCTTGATTCACAAAACTGCACTGTCGAAATTGAAAGCTGTGAGTATAATTCACATTATTTCTGTCAGGGCTCTGAATTTTGTTGTATTTTACATGTAATCTGAAGGTTTCTGTGGGGGAGCCAGGTTTTTTCCAGCAGGGGGAGCAAGAAAATTTTCTCTCAAACTTGCATTTAAGACTACTTTCACTGATTGCTCTAAATACTGAAGACAGAAGGGTACTGAAGCTACTGAAAGTAGTGTTAAACAAACAACTAACACGCCACAACCGTCTCCTCTGCAGCTTTACAGTATATATTGTTACTTTCAGATGGCTACACGGTATCAGATGTGGTTATGTACTGGAAAGACACGCCAGTTCGTGGGGTTGATGAAGCAGAGTTGCCACAATTCACCATCATTGGCTGTGAAACCAATGATCGAAAAGAGAAGCTTGCCACTGGCAACTACCAGCGACTCTCGCTTTCCTTTAAGCTGCAACGCAACATTGGTTATTTTGTATTTCAAACATATCTCCCATCAATACTTATCGTCATGTTATCATGGGTTTCCTTCTGGATCAACCACGAAGCAACCAGCGCCCGTGTTGCACTAGGTAACTACACAACCATAACTGACTAACCAACCAACACTGTGGTAGCTGAACCTGAAGTTTCAGTACAACTAAAACTAACACTTGCAATTTGGATATGAATCTCACAACCTGTCTCCCTAATATCCATCTTAAAGTTGGTTCTTGGTCTTTCAAGTTGACATTTTCCAAGATGTTTTGCAACAGAGTTTTGTATGCAATTCTGATCTCCCCCATCCGAACCCTATGCTACTGACTATCCTAGCGATCCTGATATCTTAAATTGATCATTTACCTCATCTTTCTTAGACCCCAATTTCCTGTATACTTTGTTTTCAGACACTTGTAATTTAACACAACAGACTGTCTCATACGCATACAAAACAAATGACAAAATTATGTTGTATATACCAATCTTTGACATTTTGGAAACCATTCTAAAAGAAGAAAATAAAATATATTTTTGGTAATGCTGGCAGCTGTAACTTAGTGAGCTCAATTTATGTTTTCTCTAGAGCTGTGGCCCTCCACGTTTGTCATCTTGTGACCCACTGGCTACTTTGCCCCCCCCCCCCAAAAGAATCACATCACAGTAAAATAAGGCTCATCTTTTTTCCAAAAATTGTATTCTTACAATTAAATACCTCTAAATGTTATATTACTCAGTAAGGGAGTTCTTACAAACAAAAACTGTTAAGAGTTTGTGATAAAATGTTTTATTACTGTAATATAATTGTAATGTGACACAGTACAGTCTGGCAGAAATTCACCAACATTTTCGAGGTTCATACTGCCTCCAGCAAAGAAGTAAGAAGCAAACAACGAATCTGCTTGCTGATTGGACAGCTTATTCTTTGACCCTGAAGATGTAGGCAGTATGTTGCTCTGAAATGTTGGTGAACTTCTACCAGACCACAAGGTGTCATATCTCAGAAGACAACACCCTTCAGTCACTGCTGTCTGAACTCCAAATGCAACACACTGCAGTATTCATTAGTCTGTTGATAACAAAATACAGCATTCTGGCGTCGGCCTGTCAGTCTCCACTTCATGCCTTCTCACATTGCATTGCAGGAATTACGACTGTCCTCACAATGACCACAATTAGCACAGGTGTTCGCAGCTCCCTCCCTCGTATCTCCTACGTGAAGGCTATTGACATCTATTTAGTGATGTGCTTCGTCTTTGTCTTTGCGGCTCTACTCGAATATGCAGCTGTAAATTATACTTACTGGGGAGCTCGTGCTAAAAAGAAATCCAAGAAAACTAAAGAGGCAGAGGATAAGATAACTGTACAAGGTAAGCAATAATCGCTAACTCTTTCACCAACAGAAAACTTACTGAAACAAAGAAGCACATTCTAGTAGGCCTGTCATCAACCAGTCTCGGCGATGCTTAGAGGCTGGTCTTCAGACAGCATGTAGTTCATGTACACATTAACAATGACAGGTGTGGGAATGCAAAGTACTTGGTTTTCAACATTTTCAGCTTCTTAGCTTGAACACGGAAATTTCTCTTGTGTTTCAAGACATAATCTATCAGTTCTTGCATAACTTGTGGCATTTATATTGGCAGTAAGAGGCATAAACAAAGAAAGTATGTTAAGGTTTTGTAGCCAATCTCATGAATTGTACTGACTTTTGGGCTTGAGCCTTGTCACTTGAATGTATAAAATGTGTTGACAAATAATGCCATTGAAATACCGAAAAATCCACAGAACATCTTTACAGATTCTGTAACATACTGGACTACACACAGTGGAAGCCTCATTTAACATTAAATTTAAATGATTCCAAGTCAATAACCTAGAGTTAAATTTCCTACATGTAAGATTTTACTAAAATCAGCATTCAAATGCACCAGCTTAAGATTATATAGCAATAAGTCACAATGACTGGTGGCTAATGAATTGGAAAGCATGTGGAAGGAAGAGGAAGCGACTTAATTTCAGGTACTATTCTGTCACTTTCCTGGATGATTTGAGAAAAAAAGCACACACACACACACAAAAAAACTGTCATGATAGTTGATGTCCTGGTCGATATATGAACCCAGGCACTTCTCAAACACAAGTCAGATGCACCACTGTTTGGGCTAACTTGCGCATTCAAATCCACTGCTTCCAGATGAAATATGAAATGGAGAGTTCAGCGTTCTTTACAGCAGACATCTTCCGTGATGCCAGAAGAAACTTTTTATTGGCTAACATATAAGTTAGAACACTAACCAATCATCCAAGCAAAGTCCTTCCTGACACACACACACACACACACACACACATATATATACTCACAAATAAGTCATCTGATAGAACCTCCGGATTCACCAGAATACAGCTCAAAAAGTGACATGACTCAAACTCAAAATCATCAAGACAAAAAACACAGACTACATAAATATTACCCACATACAGTTTATTTAGACAGATAATAAAAGTTTATATAGATATTCCAAAATAATAAGTATACTGTGCAAGAAAATTGCATTTCAAGTCAAACATTACACTCTCATTATATAAAAGAATTTTTGAGAGATTGCAATAATACTAACCTACCAAACACAATCTCTTCAGAGAGATATGTGGTGACCACAACCAATGCTTCTTGTATAGCACCAGCCGGATCGGTGTCTGACCAGCAGCAGCAGCAGGAAATCATCGAACTGCAGGACCTGCGAATGTCCCCCATCCCGTCCATCCGCAACCGACACAATAGTCGCAATTACTCCTCATCGTCGGCCGAAGGTCTTGACCCTGCCAAGTTTCCACCAAGTTTCCGTATGAATCGTGCTGCTGGTGGCTATTCCTTCCCTGTACGGTCTGCAGGCGGCTTGCGTTTCCGGGGATCAAGAAGTCACCTTCCTCAACACAGCAAACCCAAAGTTTTCCACGCGCTGAAAAGAGGAGCAACTGCTATCAGAGCTTCAATGCCAAAGATTAAAGATGTAAATGTCATAGACAAATATTCACGTATCATATTCCCGTTTTCATTCATGCTGTTCAACGCCGCATACTGGATTTTCTATGTACTTCCTTCTGCACATGGTCCAAAGTGAAGCCGAGGGCTGAACACGGTCCTGGTGGGGTATGTGAACTGTTAAAAGAATACACACACTTTAACTAAGTACAGTGTTGGGAACACAAGACCAATACTGGTCTGAAGTGTTACTGTATCCACTCACAGTCATCCTAACAACGTCAAGAGCAAGGAAAACAAATGAAAATTAGGAAATGTGTAATTATAACTTTGTAAGAATTATAGTGTTTTAAGAGGTCTGGATATTTTGTTGTCTGTTACACCTCAGTCTAATAGATGGCTTGTCAATGTCTGTAATCCACTAAAGTTGAATGATTATATATGCAGGCATGAACACACAAAGAACAACTAAAACATTAAGATGCCTACTTCACCCTAAATGAACATAATTTGATTGTGGCATGTCCTCCACACCAGATGTAATAGTCATACTGTCATGACTCAAGTTTCTTGAATTATCTAGTGGTATTTCCTTCATACTGGATGCAATGCTTATCTAACCATGACTTGATCATTCAAATCTCATTGCTGATGAGTTTGATTACAGTAGCACTATACTGTGCACTCCAACGCTTATACCTACATTTTTATAACTGAATTACTGACCAGATTTAAAACTAGTGGAATAGGTTAAGAGTAGATACTTTAAAATTATTAAGTGCCACTACATGAAGTTTTAGAATGACAGAACCATTGGAAGCATACAGATAAATAAAGGTAAATTAAATTCTGAATGGAGGGTGTTAAAACCTGTCATCTAAGGGTTCTCAGATGACTATGATACTTCATAATCAAAGATATAACTCTGTAAAACAGCAATTTATAAAAATGATCAGCTGTTGCTCTATCCCTTCCTTGGGTTTATTATAGGTTAAAAAGTTGAACAAAGTTTGAAACAAGAATTGAAACAGCAGCTTTAACCTACTTTATATTCATAGATTCTTCATAAGAGATAAAATGGTTATTTTGCCAATACAAAAGTGATACAGAAGCTTATCACAAAGTCACTGCAAAATTTCTTGTTCAGTTGATATAATGACTTCACATATTCTATGTTGAATGTCATCAAGCACAGTTAACACAGGTGTGGTATAGACATAATCTTTTACATACTCCATAGGAAGTACAACTGGAAATCTAGGAGGTCATGATCATATTTATATCCCATCTGAAGAGCCTCTAGTGATGATTCCTCAAACTTAATAACCTGTCCATTAAGAAAAAAAGAACACCATCTACTCTCATACAGAAATGAGTTTCTTTGACATACTCGTACATTTTTAAATATTTGTGCTTTTTATTTTTTTTGCAATGTATTGTAATGATTACACACTCACTCATGGAGCTGGGCCCTTGTTGAGAAGCCGCCAGTTGTGTAGCTACTCAAGAACTTCCCAGCATTTTATGGAACCTGAAGGTTCATTACTGTGTTCACAAGAGCCCTCCACTGGTCCATATCCTGAGCCAGATCAATCCAATACACACCATCCTACCTCTCTAAGATACATTTTAATATTATTGTAATGGAGTACCATAATTCAAATCAGAACAAAAGAGCAGTGGTATCTTTCACAGCAAATTACTGGATCTGATCAACAGAATTTAATATTTATAGAAGGGATTGAATGTTTTAAGCAAATTGCATACTATGTATATATTAGACATCTACATTAAGAGAGGTGATCGAACACTTTAAATACAAACATTTGTGGGGGAACCTTTTATTATTTTGCCTAAAACGTCTCTCAAGGATTCATTATATCTTGAGTAGACAACATTATGGTAGGAAAAGCCTGTGTGTTCAGTGAGATCTTGGTTTCCAACATAAGCTGGGAAGCGAACCAGTAATTTTATAATGGTGTAACAACATACATCACTATGTAATAACCTCAATGTTTTAGACATCCTCACTCCTTCCACTATCTGACGTACTGAAACATTCCTAAGTGGTTGTCCACTAACAACAGAGAGATTGTATGTGAGACAATCTCTGATCAAGCCGCAGTCATTACTGAAGAAAATTAATTATATAATCAATGCCAAAAATAACTCTGAATGGACAGCGCATTCAGACATGTGCAAATGGTGTTGCAGTGTTCATGAAATAATGTAAAAATAGTTACAGTGTTTTCGTCTTTTAAAATTTTTTATTTCAATATATTCGCAATAATTTTAATGAGAATTATATCTGTTACATTAAAATTATCATGAAATTGCATATCCATAGAGGACTCTCCTTAGCTTGTTAATGCTGCCAAAATGTAATATCTTTCCCCCAAATTTTAACTTTCTTTTCCTTGTGATATGTATGGTAAGAATATGTGAAAAAATATATAATGACTACATAAATGTCTAATTTATTTTACATCATTCACCCTAAACTTGGAGATGATCTGTGTTTCACAAGTACAACTTAAATCTATTATAGTGAGGTCATAGAAAGAGGTCTTAAGGATGATAAAGATGACTCAGTTTGATATTCCATGCTTTCTGCTGCTATATTCTGCTCCTGTACAAACCAGCCTAAGTCAACCAATCCAAACGTGCTTATTACTAATTACACTTTGTCTAAAACTTTGATGGTATGTAACACCTTGAAAAGGAAGAAACATCCTGTGTCTTCAACAAGATCTGCAGTGTGATAATTTTGGTTCCTGTCACTATTTGATGATGCAACCTTGACTGACATAGCCACATTGTCCAGACTGGCTCTGAGAACTCATTCAGCCTCCTACACAATGACTCCTGAAGGTAATGTGGCCAGGGCATGAAGCTCACCACTTGTGTCCATTTAGTACAGAGGTTAAGAAAGAAGTGTAGCTATACAGTGTGAGACAATTAAGTTCTGGGGGGGGGGGGTAAATAAAGGGACTTCCCTCCATGAATTTAGTTCAGTCACTCATCAAAATTCACTAATGGCTCCCAACTTCCTTTCCTCCTTAACCTGACGATGAAAATATTTAGACCACCTGTTCAAAAACTTGTTGTTTCCTTTGTGAAATCA